GTGATATGATCGTCGTATTATTCAGCTGTATGTAGTTGTGAACAAACGCGCTAAATCAACCCGTGGCCCGGTCTTCTGCAGCGTACCTAATATATTATATTATTATATTACGGGTAATGATGGATATCGTCCGTTCGTAAATTAAATGTATTAAGTACCTATATATACTATTTACCGCGTTTGCCGGTCGTCAGAAAAAATAATAATTACAATACTAACATCTGATTGTTAAAGCTTAAAAAAAAAAACTTAAAACGAAACGTAATGAATCGGAATCGCGGTATACAAGAGTTGAACGAACGGCTGTGAACGGTTTAATATTTTAAGATATGAAATAGGTAAGTACTACTAAATACACGATAACGTATTGTTATATAATACATATATATATATATACGTTTAGTATTATTATCGTGGACGATATAATATTTAAATAATTGTTGTGACAATGAGTGGCGTGAGTAAGCAACGAAATATCAATGTCAGACAGCCGATGATATACCACTGGAATAAACTCGTAGCTTTTACCAACTACAGCAGAACCCGTTTAAGAGTTTAACCCTCTCCAAGGGACCAGTTAAAAATAGCATTTGATTTTGAATTTTTCAAGTTTTGGTATCATAGACGTAACTAGAGCCATTAAATTGAGTGGGCTCGAGCCCATAGTTAAAATGTTTAAAAGAGGGAAGGTGTTGTAGGACTATATCCGTGTGACCTTGTCCTTTTACTATTTTAGGTGGGCTCGAGAGACTGAAGGGTGGGCAAGCCCACCCAAGCCCCCCCTATTTACGTCTATGTTTGGTATAAATTTGCAGGTTTATACTTTATATAATTAATATATTAAGTAAATAATTTCTATGTTTGGGTGGTGCATTTTAGCGTAGACATTTTAACCTATTTACGTATAATGGAGTTATGCTTTTGTGAGCAACTAGTCGCTTAAAAGGTATAAATATTATACGCAAAAGGGTAACACTCATATTGTAATGAAATATTTAGAAGCCTTTTAAGTAAAAAAAGCAGGGCTTGAAACCGCTCCTGAAGAAATAGGTTACCGGGTCCGATAGGACCCGGAAAATTTTTTGGAACCGGTTACCGGTTATCGAGGTTTTTAGAAATAATGATAATCATTTCCCGCTTACCAAAATAAATGTTATAAATGGGATTACCGGTTATCTATTTGGAAGCGGTTTTAAATCTTCAAAATTACCGGTTACCTCGCAAAACCGTTTTTTTTTTTTTTTTTTTGTTTTAATACCTACTCTATTTTTTTTCATCAAACTTAACATGTTAAGTATAGTACTACACAGTTTTGTTCAGTATTACTATTATTACGAACTAATGTAACGAACTTATTATTAAATAATGAATATCAAAACAGTCCCTGATTATAAGTTATAACGTACCTATTACCTAGTACTTGGTACAATATCGTACATGCAAGAGTTATATACTATTATATATATATGTATCAGCCCGCATTCGTCGATGTTTCTCACAGATTTCTATATAGTATAGAAGTCTGTGATGTTTCTACCATTCGTATCAGTATTCAGTACCTATATCATAGGTACTGACTACTGAGAATGTTTTGTTAGTGCGCCGATACGATTCCGCAATCAAACACTCTTATTTTGGTATTTTTAAATTTTAATACTTAGTAGTCCTAAAATAATCTATTTTACTATTTTATAAATATTATTTTCTTATTTAGAATATTCAATATAATTTAAAAAAAATTATTTTTACGTTAATTGGTTTGAGATTTACGGTTTTGTATACTTCCGATTAATTAACCGGTTCTAAAAATAAAAGGTTACCGTTATAGATTTCTCCCTTTATCAAATTCCGTGATTACCGGTAATTGATAACCGCTTCTCAAAATTGAAACTCGAGAACCAGGAAGCGGATACCAGTCCAAAAAGTACTCATGGTAACCGGTTACCGGGAAAAATCGGTTACCGGTTTCAAGCCCTGAGTAAAAGTCACATCTCCAAGAACACGTTGTACGCAAACGAGTGGTATAGGTTTGCAGTTATACATTTCGATTTAGCGGCTTTTCACATTTTTTCGTTGTACGCCAGCGAGTTGCCAGTTTTCAGGTAAAAAAATTCTGTTATGCCTTTGAATACATTTCGTTTATCATAATAACACTGGCTGAGTATAAAGGCACAGATTAAAATTTAAAAGTAAAATAATTAAAGCTTGAATATATAGATATTAGAAAAGTAAAAAATCTTAAACACAATTTTAAGTGGCATAATGCAATTGCCATAATATTGTTATATGTAGGTATACTCACTGCTTTATATTAAAATATTAAAATTATAACTCCTGTATTTAAATTTAAATGTTTGCACGTGCAATATAATCATAAATGTAGCGATAGATACCAGTAATTTTGTTTCTGCATTTTGCCGTGATTTATACCTATAGACATATATTATTTATTATTATGTTTGTTTAACTTATCTTAACGTACATAGATAAGTACCTATATATTGTCTATTGTAATATATACGAGACTAACAAGTGTGATTCTCGAATCTCGAGTCAAGTGCAAATTTAAAATTCATTTCTCACCTATGACATATATTTAGTTGTACATTGAAGAATTGTATTGTTCTTTTAAACTAAACTTATATAGTTTTATGTTACGATTCGGCGATGTTAACGAAATGAATAATAATAATACATTTGTCAACGGACACGTCAGAAAACGAAAACTATTTCAAACACTATTGACAATAGATATTATGTTTTCGTGTTCATCTGATAAAATGTACTTTCCCAAGTCCACAATGTACTCATAATTATTTATGTACTGTTGCCGATCGTGGTCATGTGGTATGTTAAATTAAACCATGGTTCAGAACACTCAAAATAATACAGGGAACCATGCTTTAGGTACATTTATTATTATTTACATAATTTAGCAATTATTAGATTGACCGACTTGCCAAAGTTGTCGCTTTTCGCTTCAGAGTACGGGTCTTGCCGTCTTGGTGATAGCCATAAATCATAATAATACGATGTGTATCTTATAATATTTTATAAGCTATAATAATAATATAGCGTCAAGGCGCCATCACAGCTCCCCGTGAAACGTGATATATTCTAGAACTGTGATTGGTTGAACCATGTGGTTATCTAATGGTGAACCATAATTTTTTTTCTTAATACCTTATCTATACCGCTTATACCGTATAGTTGAGTTCAATCCTACTCAGAGCGTGTGTTTACCGTATGTCCGTATGGTTGACAGTCGTGGTTAAGAATTTTTTTACGGGAACAAATTATATATTACCTATCACGTTTCACGTTTCACGGTGAGCTGTGAAGGCGCCTTTGGTCTGCAGCAGCTAGTATAAATATAATATTAAGGCTAGTGTAGAATTTACTGTAGCAACAACATAATATTGTATATAATAATATAATATGTGTATAGATTAAAATTCAATTAGGTCTCAAAGTTTATCGAAGTATTAACATTGGTAAATGTTTTGTGAGTATTTTTCAATCTTCAATGTCGTACGTGTAGTAACGTATAATAGTTTTATCTGCAACATTTTGATTGTAGATTGTAATATTCTAGATTTCCACATAAAAATTATTTTTATATTTTATAAAATTACGTTTGTCGACGAACTTTTTCCATTTTTACCGGAGACCGGTTTCCGCTTCGGCGAATCTGGCCTGAATCCTATTAAGAGCCTTGTATTAAATTGGCAAGCTTTTTTACCCAACAAATAAAATTGTATTGACATTCATAGAAAAAAAGGTGTGAAAGTGAGTGTCGCTCTGCTGTACAGTAGGATACAAGTGGATCACTGAATTGCATGGTGTTAAATTTGTATTCAATGATATAATACGATTTTATAAGAAAAACGATTCTGAGCGAAAACGGTCAGTCAGCCTATGATATTACTAAGTATATTTCATGATATTATTGTGAATAAAGTAATTTTTATATAACCTATTTACATGGATACTTCTTTTAAATTTTCAATCTTTAGATATAGAAGTTGAACATTTTATACATTTTTAAATAGAAAATAATTATTAAATTTTAAATGTGATAAATTTTGTCAAAATTTGAACTTAAAATACTTTTAAAAAAAATTGTGCCAATGGATTTGAAATATTTTCAACTGCCATTGTAACAATATATCAGGAGCCTTGCATTAAATTTTCACGCCTTTTTACCCAACAAATACAATTTTATTGATATTTATAGAAAAAAAAACTAAAAGAAATGGAAACAGCACAAAATAAGTCAAAATATTTGGAAAATGTTATGGTGTATAGAAGATGCTAATACAAACATTCAGTCAAAATGTAATGTACCTACAGTCATTTGTTTTAGAGTTACACCAAAAACCAAAATCGATTTTTTCGAAAACAGATTTTGGGTAAAAAATACCGGTTTTCCTTAATTTTTCTTTTTTTTTTCACGGGGCCAACTATCCAAAGTAGGCCCTTTTTTCGTAAATTTCCACAATTAAATTAATAAAACTATTATATGCCATAAGGCATAAACCACATTTTTTATAAGCAATATATTATGATAATTAGTTTATCTCAATAACAAAAGCAAAACTATTACGATCGGAGTATTCTGAGCATGAACATTAATTCATGATTCTGAGTTACAAATGTTATGAGATGTGATAACAAAAACGGAGGGAAAATCCATTGATAAGGAATAACTCGTTGGCCGTTGCATCCATGTTATCACCGTTACGAAACGTTTCCTACATCCCAATACAAGTTGGTAACCGTAATAAAAAATAAACGATAATTTTAATTCCATCAAACCATTATTTAAGATCTAACCGTGTATTAGGGTGGGGCGAAAGTGAACTCGATTTTATCATTTCATAATACTACCTATTATTATTGTATTTTTCTCGAGTGATTTACACGTCGGCACGTCGCCGTATTCTAATAAAACACATCATTATCACTGTTAAATTTTATTAGACGTGGTCCTCGTCAAGATGAAGATCTATCTACTCGCTTCCGTCTTGCTCATCGCCGCATATCAAGGTAACAACTGCGCGCCGGTACAAATAACACAAATAATATAGACAAATATAACAATTTATGCAGCGAATAATCTTAATATGCTGCAAAATATTCTGTGTAATATAATATCCACCAAAAAATAATCTACTGTTCAGCGTCTCTAAAATTGGCCACACAATCGACCCGAATTTTAACAAAAACACTTTGGAGTCGGATATACATTTACCGCATTAATCGTTTTACACATCGGGGTATTTCCTTCAAACGGTAACAGTCTTTAAAAAAAAACCCCTTTCAACGCATCCTATATAATCCGCTCTTAAATATTATGCATATCATAATAATATTGTAGAAGCTATACGAAGAATACGGTTGGTTTGTGTGTTTTTCGACATATAATTTTCGTCTGTATATGTAACACGTTTCCAAAAATCCATCCGTATATTAAACGCGACACATACGATGTGTTACAACACGAAACCCGGACACGCAGAGATCGGTGAAGCAATATAATATAAGCGTATATGGGTAAATAATACAATATAATATAATGCGTTCGTATATTAAATTATACGTCGCGGCGGCTAATGGTGTGACTTATATACGTCGCGCATACCGCAAATTATGGAGAATTATAATAACACTAGATTCCGGTGTTTGTCATCCCGCCTACGGCGGAAAGACTGTGTGGGCGGTGGTGAATCTTTGTCGGCTATGCTGGGTTTTTTGATCCAGCCTGCGGGGGGAAGGGGGGTCGTCGGGTATTATGTTTTGTCGTGTTGGCAGCACTTTTTAAGCGGTAATTTTTGAACTCGGAAGAGTGTCTAGTCGTAAGTCACGCGATTCAAGTCGATCGTAAGACACAGCCAGCCAGGTAGGCAATCCGACTACGTCGGATCGCAGACCATGCCCCATTCGTGTATGCCGGTTCTTGAGTGTGTGTGTTGAAATCGGAAATTCGGATTCTGGGTTTGAGTGTCTAGCTATCAGTCATCTCGGGTAAAAGTCGATTCCCGAGTATCGGATGCAGTGGGGGACACTGGGGGTGTAAGTCGCTCGTATGCAAGTAGCTAGTCAGGTAGGCAATCCGACTACGTCGGATCGCAGACCATGCACCGGGCGTGTATGTCCGGTTCTCGTATGTGTGTTGAAATCGGAAATTCGGATTCTGAGTTTGAGTATCTAGCTATCAGTCATCTCGGGTGAAAGTCGATTCCCGAGTGTCAGATGCAGTGGGGGTGTAAGTCGCTCGTATGCAAGTAGCTAGTCAGGTAGGCAATCCGACTACGTCGGATCGCAGACCATGCACCGGGCGTGTGTGTCCGGTTCTCGTATGTGTGTTGAAATCGGAAATTCGGATTCTGAGTTTGAGTGTCTAGCTATCAGTCATCTCGGGTGAAATCCGATTCCCGAACGGACAATCCGCCTACAGCGAAAAGTGCTCGAAACGGCCGTTCAAATATGAAAAAGTATACAGGAGGTAATAAAATTGTATTTGTTGATAATTATAGAGAACAGTTATCAGGTGTTTTATGTTAGGCTTCACTGTAATCAATGTAATCATTGTTATGTTTCCGCGGTTATAACGAATAAGTCGACAAAATCTAATTTTCTGATTGGATATTTTCTAAAATATACCTTCCATGTATATTTTTTTAATTATGAGAATTAAGTCAAATTAACAAATAGATAATTATATTGGTGAATAACAAATTTTATTGAAATGTACTACTATCCTATTAAACGTAGGTATCTATAAATGAATACACTACACATACTCTCGTTTCCGACACACTACTCCACCCCGGGACTCGAATTTTCGAAAAAAACGGCAAATGAAGCAGTCATATTACAGTCGTACTATTTTTTAATATAGTATTTATAATCTGTAGCAGTATTTAACCAAATCGGAATCACGTAAAAACTGTAATATATCAAGTAGGTACTACACGTAGGTTAGTTATATTATAATGTATTATTAAAAGAAACATGTAGGTGCGTCGGTAAATGTTAATTATAATAATTTTTTTGCCCAATAAATATCGTCAAACGAATAATAATAATATATATAATATAATAATGCAAATTAAAAAAAAAAATTAACACTTTCGTTAAAAATGATAAATGTGACGAAAAAAAAAACGCAAAAAAAAGAAATTCGATTTAACACGGCCCCGCCGGCGTTCGAAACCACGACCGTCGAATCACCCGTTTTAACGCCTAACCTACCTAGCCACCTACCGAGATGAAATTAGGAGCCAAATCTATGACTCTTAAGGGCGTTTGAGCGGACCACCATGTCCGCCACCTTCGGACGTTCAAGACGCGAGATTTGCGAAAAAAATCGAACCTCGAGGCGCATGTATATATGCCTGTATATAGCGATACCTACACGGTACCTACTCTCGTTTCTGACACACTACTCCACCCCGGGACTCGAATTTTTGAAAAAAACGGCAAATATAGTCGTACTATTTTTTAATATAGTATTTATAATCTGTAGCAGTATTTAACCAAATCGGAATCACGTAAAAACTGTAATATATCAAGTAGGTACTACACGTAGGTTAGTTATACGTTATTATAATGTGTTAATAAAAGAAACATGTAGGTGCGTCGGTAAAATCAAGTATTAATTAAATGTTAATTTTAATTATTTTTTTGCCCAATAAATATCGTCAAACGAATAATAATAATATATATAATAATATAATGCAAATTTAAAAAAAAATTAACACTTTCGTTAAAAATGATAAATGTGACGAAAAAAAAAAACGCAAAAATAAAAAATCCGATTTAGTACGGCCGCCGCAAAGAACCGAAAATTCCGGACGGCGGTTTCGAACCCACGACCCTCGGTCCCCTATCCTAACGCCTAACCAACCTAGCCACCTACTCAGATGAAATTTCGAGGCAAATGTATGACTCTTAAGCCGTGTCGCCGTGCTCGCGGCGATAAAATAAAATTCTTATCACTTTCCTTATCAATAAAAACAATATTTAAGAAAATCCCAATAAATCCTATCAAAAACTCAAAACCCCGAGTTTCCCCTTGGCGAGGTGGGTGTTAGTACTCTCCCGGACCAAAATCCATCAAAAAAGCAAAATCCAAAAAGGGGGGGAGGAGGTGCCCCCGTTCCCTAAAGCGGAAAACGGTAGTATTCATAAAAAGAATGGGTTCCCCCTTGGTCCGAGGTCTTTAACTTGAATTCCGGCCGAGTTATACTTAACTCAAAATGTGGGGGGGTGGGGGCTTTGGTTCCCTAATGTTGAAAATTCATCTGGGGCCTAAAAAATTGAGATGCCCATTGGTCCGGGGTCTCTAAGTCGAATACCGGCTAAGTTATGCTTCGTCAAAAATAATTACTCGTTTAATGGTTCCCCCCCACTCCGCCCGACGGTCGCGGGGTAATCGATTTATAAGACGTTATTATCACGTCAAAAAATTGAAAAACACGGGTTTTTGAATTTTTGAATCTCGAGCACTTGAACCGTTTCTGAATTTTTATATTATATTACACACGGAAATATCCCAATTTTCATAATAATATATAGAAATACGGAATAATAATAATAATAATAATAATAATAATGTTCGAAAATATTCGTCGATAAGGAAAAGGGAGATAAGCGAGCGGAGTTTATAGCGAACGCGCGGGAAGTATTGTGATTGGTCGTCATGGAAGAAACGCGGAGTGCCGTGAGCGCTCCCCGCGGATCTTATACGCGTTATTAGCGTTTTATTATATAAGACTAGATTCCGGTGTTTGTCATCCCGCCTACGGCGGAAAGACTGTGTGGGCGGTGGTGCATCTTTGTCGGCGATGCTGGGTTTTTTGATCCAGCCTGCGGCGGGAATGGGGGGTCGTCGGTTATTGTGTTTTGTCGTGTTGGCAGCACTGGTTAAGCGGTAATTTTTGAACTCGGAAGAGTGTCTAGTCGTAAGTCACGCGATTCAAGTCGATCGTACGACACAGCCAGCCAGGTAGGCAATCCGACTACGTCGGATCGCAGACCATGCACCGGTCGGGTATGTCCGGTTCTGGTGTGTGTGTGTTGAAATCGGAAATTCGGATTCTGGGTTTGAGTGTCTAGCTATCAGTCATCTCGGGTAAAAGTCGATTCCCGAGTGTCGGATGCAGTGGGGGACACTGGGGGTGTAAGTCGCTCGTATGCAAGTAGCTAGTCAGGTAGGCAATCCGACTACGTCGGATCGCAGACCATGCACCGGGCGTGTATGTCCGGTTCTGGAGTGTGTGTGTTGAAATCGGAAAAATTCGGATTCTGAGTTTGAGTGTCTAGCTATCAGTCATCTCGGGTAAAAGTCGATTCCCGAGTGTCGGATGCAGTGGGGGTGTAAGTCGCTCATATGCAAGTAGCTAGTCAGGTAGGCAATCCGACTACGTCGGATCGCAGACCATGCACCGGGCGTGTGTGTCCGGTTCTCGTATGCGTGTTGAAATCGGAAATTCGGATTCTGAGTTTGAGTGTCTAGCTATCAGTCATCTCGGGTGAAAGACGATTCCCGAACGGACAATCCGCCTGCGGCTGATCGGATGCAGTGCGGGGTGTAAATCGCTCGTATGCAAGTAGCTAGTCAGGTAGGCAATCCGACTACGTCGGATCGCAGACCATGCACCGGGTGTGTATGTCCGGTTCTCGTATGTGTGTTGAAATCGGAAATTCGGATTCTGAGTTTGAGTGTCTAGGTATCAGTCATCTCGGGTGAAAGTCGATTCCCGAACGGACAATCCACCTGCGGCGGATCGGATGCAGTGGGGGTGTAAGTCGCTCGTATGCAAGTAGCTAGTCAGGTAGGCAATCCGACTACGTCGGATCGCAGACCATGCACCGGGCGTGTGTGTCCGGTTCTCGTATGGGTGTTCAAATCGGCTGTTGAAATCAGTCATCTCGAGTGAAAGTCGATTCCCGAGTGTCGGATGCAGTGGGGGTGTAAGTCGCTCGTATGTAAGTAGCTAGTCAGGTAGACAATCCGACTACGTCGGATCGTAGACCATGCA